TGTATTCAACTGTGGGAACCTTCGAACACCCTCTCGTTTGCTTTTAATCTCACTTTGTTCTCGGCATTGCTTTAGGTGGCATTGGACACATTTCCAAGTGCTCTACTTGAACGCAATGGTCAGCGAGCTCCTGACTAACTCATCTATGATATCTTGGCGGGATATATGGTATTTGACTGTATTTGGCTAAAATATAAGATTTTTTCGCGAAGACGAAGAAGTATTTTGGCTTCGTCGATTGTTTTCACGGAGAGTGACTTTTGTGTTTCTGGTACATAGAACAAATGGGCCGTAAATGTTTTCTGTGCAGACTGAAATTCAGCTCCAGAGTTTGTATTTAAATATTGCTCGCTATTGGATGTCCTTCATGAAATCGTTAGCCGAGGATTTTGAAATTTAATATACTACCTGTTTTAGTTTAATACTTCCATGATTATCAGATTGCTTAAGTCTGATATTTGTTACCCGTCTAATCAATCTACAGCCGAGTCGACTTGTCTGATGCGTTCAGGTCGTACAATGCAAATATAGTTCGACCCTTTCTGCATTTCCTCAAAAAAATATTGTTCTGCTTTCTGACGCGTCTGTAATTGGACTTGCTGAGCAAACAACCAGTATCTTAAATGACCTTCTTGTATTGAGTTGGATCGTCTAATTTCCTTGTGTTCTAATCTTTACCGTCGGTAATTGTTTAAGATGTATTTAATCCAAATTAGATATCATATCCTTGATCGCTTTTATCAGTCGAACGTCTTTTTATCAAATATGTAAGTCTAATGGTAAACTTGGTGAGGGATTCCTGCTAACTTCTAGTATATAATATATAAACCTTTTTATTTTACAACAATTAAGAAACACATGTTTTTACAACTTATATTAATCACTCTTGTTGGCCTGGATGTTAGCGCGCGGAGGGTCTAAATGTGGGAGGAAACCAGAGTACCCGGAGAAAATTCACGTGATCGGGCAGGTGACCCCATACCGGTTCATGTCCGACCGGGGAATCGAACCCCGGCCGCCTTGGTGAAAGACAAGTGAGCTATCCACTGCACCACCCGACCACCCAACTTGTAGTATTGTTGTTAACATAACTGAATTGTATTTTTGTTTGTTTCAAAAACAGATGTATACAAAACGTAAGATATCATGGAGTAATTTCATTGTACTAACGGACTGTAAGTCTCATTTACTTTCAAATCAAGAGTTCGCAGGTTTTACCTTTACCTTGACTCAACGTTTATCGCCATTATACAAATTGCATGCAACCTTTTACCTTTTTATAAATCGAATGAACCGTTAAATATCACGAAGAAGATAGTTGATCTTCTGGCAATTTTCTTTAGATTTTTATTTCGATGGTGGTACAAATATAAATACACGTGTATCTAGAAGATTTCGTAAAACTGACGTACGTAGATTGTAAATACCACGTTGAGAAATAATTAGTTACGTATTATTCTATAAAAACAATTGACCTCGTGGTACATTTTTGGCGGTCGACAACTTAGTTGTTCGATTCGATTGAAGAATAATGCAGATTACGATACGAGAATCACTCACCCATTTAAAGCATCCGGTTTCACTTTCTCCTTTTTCTTTTCTTTTGAATTCATGACGCTAAACATTTCTTTTTCTTTTGGTGTCACATCGTTTCTTCTTCTTATTTTAAGGATCCCTGTCCCACTACACTTCATTTTTTCGTTTATACAGTAACCTCCCCTTACATTTTGGATGTAACTAGCACATTTGACTATAGCATTCCGTTGACCAGGTAGGTCGGTAGGTTAGAGCGACAACCTGAAGTCCAGGGTTCGAATCCCTGTCTAGTCCCGCTGGTGTTTTACACTCAGAAGACTGATGATGATTTTATTTGCTTATTTCATCTTTATGTCGAAAAATAACAGTTTCCAATGATTGGTTACAGGTTTTAGCAATCGTACGGGGGTCCTTAACAAAGACTTCAAATTTCTACTTGTTTTGTTTTGTCCTTTTTTTTGGCTGATTAAGTTATTTCCTCAATAGTACTGTGTTTCTATTTTGTTTCTTATCGTATTTACCAATTGCTTTATCAGCAATATTACCTAAATCTTAGATATACAGGAAATCATATACAAAATTATTAAACATTTTACGTTATATTTTTTCGGGGTTGTAACTTACAGCCTAGGTTAGGTTTAGTAAATACTGTATGCAATTTACTACAAAAGACTCATATTTTGCAAATGTAATTATGCTTCGTTTCGCTCATTCGCTCAAGACTTGCAATCAAAGGCTAGCTTAGTATTCAATATATTTCTTTCTGAAACATCGAACAAACGTTGAGACACATTTAAACCAACTGTTTTTAACAATTCACCAAATATGTTTGGCATTCTGTTTTTCATGGATTTTGTTGTTTTTAACTCCATTCTAACTCCGTATTTTTCTGATTTTACTCTACAGTTTTCCAAGATCGGTCACTTCACTAGCAAAAAATGCTATTAAACCATTTTGTTATGTAGGTTCATTGACACCCTACTTAACTATATATATCCTAAAAACTTGTTTCACGATTTCCGTGATAGATGTCGACTGCTGACGGACAAACATACAACACAGTATTTAAAGACTACGGACAAGTTTTATGGTCGCTATCATGACCTTATTGACAACTATGCCATTTCATTGTGTGATATGGAGGCCGATGGGGTTTTTTTATGCTCTCTAGCGTGGCTTGTCGTTTCACTGTCACTACCCCGATTCTCGCTACGAGGATGCGACATTCCTTGGACTTTACCTAAATTTACATGGCGGATTTCGTCGATGAAAAAGAAGACTCTTACGCTTCTGGAACACCTGGTTTATTATCTGTGCTTTTCCAATGATCTTCATGTTAATCTTTCATTTCTTCAAATATTCCCCTAATTTATCGAATTTTAGTTTGAATTGCGTTGTTGTCTTTACATATGCCATTTTCCTTGCTGATGAAGCTGACGTCACAGTTGAATAGGTAAGAGAGTACTGAATCAAATATGACATTTACGTAAGTTCAACCTGTTTTTAAAACCACCTGCCTGTAACTACCGCCTAAGTAATCTGTTAACACGGTCACAGACTGATTACAGCCACATATCTGGCAGAACTGACTTGCTATTAAACCATTTTGTTATGTAGGTTCATTGACACCCTGCTCTGGTAGTGACGTGGTCGAAGGTTTCAGGAAAAAAAAGCCGTCATTGTTTGTTCAAGCATTGAATAAGAAGTGTGTCAGTATCCTTCTGTTCTTTAAGTAGACATAATGGATCCCAAATACGTTCCATGTTTCTAGATGTTGAAGGAACAAAAGCAGTGGCTGACATCAGACTGGTTATCTTTGAAACAAGTCTCAATTCGCTGAGCCTTTTTCATTGTGTATACACTAATTCATACAGCCAGAGTTTACTAAATCTGAAGATGTGAGACATGTAAATATCTCTTTTTCTCTCATTTCCGTGTGTGCAAGATAGAGCTGTCCAGGGTAAGAAAGGGGTGTAGGAAATATCTATTTTTAGCGTACACATAAGAAAGATGAGATTAGTTTTGTCTGCACAAACAATATGGGGTATGCTGAATCTGCTGAAGAGTTCGTTTTCCTCAAAAAAGTTCAGGGGAAATTTTGATATTTTCAAAATGGTAGCCAGTCCACATGCATGGTTTCATGGTTTCTGAGCTTATTCTGGTAGCTGGAATGAGAGAAAAATACTCTTTCATGCCCAAGGGTGTAGGATATGGAAATTCCACCATCGGAATTTTCAAATTTGGCAAAACCTTCGGAAACTCAAGGCTGTTTGAAAACCCCTCAAGTAGAACTTCCCTATCCTACACCCCTGGACATGAAAGAGTCTTATAATATGTCCTTTATTATATAGACAGGGTTAACTCCACTGAGAAAAGGAAATGTTAAGGATTTGAAATAAAGTATTTGATAAAGAATTTGATAAATTGAACTGATACTCCTTGTTAACACTTAGCTAATTTCTGTGAGGCAACTCGTACAATTTTGTTATATTGATTTCAACTTTAAAATTCCTTGAAGAATGCTGAAACATTCCATACCATGAACTTTTCATTACAAAAGTATCTGATGTTGAATTTGGATTTGGGATATGAAAGGTAAATTTACAAAATTGACCGATTTTCGTGATATTAAGAAACATGTGCAGAAAATTGAATTCACATATAAATGGCCGACTTCAATGAAAACAAAAGACTACTTCTTATGACTGGATGAACTACTTTTGATTAAATCTGGCAAGAGGCATCTCCATTCCATGTTGATTACTATTTGTATAAACACAATACATTGGACCAGTCACTGTAAGCAGATATACTGGTCTCTGTATGACAAATCTTCATTTCAATGTGGTAGGAAGCATCCCAGGTTCAGAGTGTTTAATAATGTATATCAACTTCACATATATTAACTCGAGTTCGTATATAGCAACTTTGGGCATGGTAAGAGAGTTGCTCACCTGTGGGAAGAAGAGCAGATGCAACAGCAGAATAAGATCTTTAAAGGACTTAAAACGTGATTCCTCAAAACACATATTTAATTTAAATTCAGACTTTCATAGTCATGGAAATGAATATTTTCAAGGCATCATAGCAGTTGTTACTTGTGTTGAACTTTGACCCCAGCTGTGACTCCTTCATACTACACTGACAAAGAGTTGAACAAACTTGAAATCACAATGCCATGCTTACGAAGAAATCTAACTTAGACCTTAAGACTGCTTCTTTTCTTTTTTTCACCTATCCAATTTAGTACCATTTTTGGCCAAGGTGGTAATGAGGTTCACACTTATACTCTTGAAGATGTAACGAGTTTGATAAAAGTTTGAGAACTTTCCTATCAGCAGAAAATGTGTTGAAATTGATTGACAGACAGATGCTGAATCTTGCATAGCTTCACTTGCACTTCCTTGCAACGTGAGCTTAATGCAATAACACAGTAACAAAATTAATTTCACAAAATTCACTTCATCTAAAACAGGAAAACATTTCTTTATTTAATTAATCACTTTCAACACTATCACAACATGATGGAAGTTCCTCGAACGTTTTAGAAATGTCTTCATTGTCTGCATCTGTGTGACCTGTGACCCCTACTTCCTCGTCCTCGTGGAAGTCCTGCGGTATGTATAACATGTCGGGAGAGGCGGGTCCTACCACCTTGTCCCTCACTTCCCCAACTTCAAGTTTTCTGAATGCCAAACAATGTATGTGGTCTAGTTTCACATATCGCCACCTTACAAATCCGATGGATTCCACAGCAAGTCTCCAGCTTTTTATCATGGCGGCATTCCTGTGCTGTTTGTGAGAATCAGGAGTCACAATTACCAATAGTCCATTGCCTGCTAGGAGCTGGTGGGCATGGCAACAGCATGTCCATCGCTGACTGGCCAGGGGAAGATACTCCAGTAACAAGGAAAACACAACGACATGGAAACTCTGACGAGGGAGCTCTGTAACCGAGTCTGGTAGGCTCCCTAAGGGATCGTCTTTTGACAGGCCAACTGGGTCAGGGTTTGTCAGCTCCAGGTTAAGAAAGTCACACCGATGGACCATCTGAAATTCATAGAGGTGTAAGATAAGTTTTCACAAGACGAGCATCCTCAAATTCCAAGGGTTACACTCATGTGTGTTATCTGCATTCTTGGAATATGTCATGACAAAATCGACAGCTCATGAAGTGTGTGCCATCTTGTGGATGATACAAGAAGACTAGTTTGATCCTTTGATGGACATCAAAAGAATCAAGCAGCAGTAAAATTGACCAGCTCTTAAGAAAGATGTCACTCCTCTGTAACCCGCAAATAAAGTTTAGCTTTAGGCATTGGCCTAGTTCTTGGTCAGTTTTATTTTACCTGAATCCAGTAAAACAGCTAGCAGCGTGCCTTCAATTTTGCCAGGACATATTCTAAGATTGCAGAGAATGTAAGTGAGTACAACACCTGGAGTTTCGAGGATGCCAGACAAATGATAAATACAACAAAATGTTTTCCCAGTACATGTGACACAGAAACAGAGTCTCAAACATTCAATAAGCCAACATTTATTTCCTGATTGTGGTACCTGGTCCATGTGTACATGTATGCTAATTAAAAGTTGATAATGGATTAATTGTCAACTCAACAGCTTACTGAATGAATAATTGTCAATTTAACATTTTAATGAATGTAAGACTGAGAATTAATTATCAAACAAATTACTAAAGGTTTAATTGAAAATTAATTCATGGTTCAACTTTTAATTAACAAGAGGCCCAATGGGCCTGCATCGCTCACCTGTTATTAATCTAACACTTGTAATCTTAAGATTTCATAAGAACCTATTAAAAGATTTAAACATATGACGCCTCTGACCTTGATTGTCGAACAAGGACATTAGGTTGAAAGTGGATCAAGGTCATTCATTTGAACTAACATGGTAATCCTTCATCCCAGCATGCTACAGGCCCAATTTCAGTACCCTGGCCCTTTTGCTTATTGAAAAGAAGTCGCTTGAAGATTTTACGACATTTGACCCCTGTGACCTTGAAAGTTGGTCAAGGTCATTCAGTTGAACAAACTTGATAGTCCTTCATCCCAGCATGCTACAGGCCCAATATCAGTACCCTGGGCCTTTTGGTTATTGAGAAGAAGTTGTTTGAAGATTTTAAGACATCTGACCCCAGTGACCTTGAAAGTGGGTCAATGTCATTCATTTAAACAAACTTGGTAGCCCTTCATCCCAGCATGCTACAGGCCCAATATCAGTACCCTGGGCCTTTTGGTTATTGAGAAGAAGTCGTTTGAAGATTTTATGACATTTGACCCCTTTGACCTTTGAAAGTTGGTCAAGGTCATTCATTTGAACTAACTTGGTAATCCTTCATCCCAG